TGGTTGGGGCATGTGTTACGTATGTCGCCAGATAGGTTGCCACGGCGAGGCAATTAGTGCTTGGAAAATGGTCAAGGGCGGTCAAATAAAAACCTGGCATGAGGGTATGAAAACCGGAATCAGGAGTCTGGGTCACATAAGTCCCGTTAGGCTCCCTGTCTGGGGACCCTGAGGTTGTGGTCACCGGTGATTAGAGGCACAGCGATATGGCTGGGTGTCGGAAACAGTAGCGCTCATACATCTACTCATTATTCTTGTAACTTCAGTCTATATAAATTCTCTATCTTTCGCTTGAATTCGCTCTAAACATTCTAATATTCAATTTTGTTGTTTTATCCAAATGGGTGACCAAAAGATAGCAACCAAACGTGTCACTAATATGCTTGAACTTAGTCATAGCTTTCACCATTCTACAAGCCTATTTTCAGATCGTTCCCAGGTTAGCAGAGNAGCAGAGCACATTGTTATTTGAAAAAACTCTTTGCATTTCTTGTGTCAGAATATTAATCGATAAACGTACACGTTTTATCATACTCCTTGATATTTTGCTGCAACTCAATTTGCATCGCATGTTCAAACACATCAATAAATCTATACGGATTTATGCAGAACACAAAAACCCACAGATGGGGCATGCAATTGGTCATCGTTCATCACTCGTATTTCAATAATTTGAACAATTTCATTGTTCCACGTTCTAACAAATAAGAAATGGAAATAAAACCACAGAAAGCTAGATCCAGTTGCCATAGTAAACTATAGGTAAACTTGGTGACATTTTTAGTTCTTAATATGTATGGCCGGGTAAACAGGATGACTTCCCGGTTAGAACTAGGCTTGACCATGAACTCCCAAATGCACTTTATTCTGTTGTTGTTATTCCCCAAAACCGTTTGGATACGTGTGTACGTAAGAAAGAGAACATTTATCTTTGAGATCAACACAGTGTGTGTGTGTCGGCACTGATCGAATTGGTTCTACTTAGTTTGGCTAGATCGTCCGCTGTATCGATAGTCACTGATCCGCATATGCCATAGTAATCAACCAGTACTGATAGTGTGAATCAAAAGCGCTTCAAGCACCTCGATCAGTTGGAAAACCAGTCAAGAAGGAAAATTTTAGAAAGCATTAACCACTTCCTTTGTCAGAATATTTTAAGACTGGGTTCAAGGACTTGGTTTCGCATACTCCCACTCTCAATGCCCAGCAATTAGTTATGGTGAATTACTTTTCCTACTTAGGTACTTGCGTGATGAATGACGGTAGCGCAACAAATGAGATAACTGCCCCCATTTTCAAGGCTTAAGCAGCATATGCAGGAATGAAGTACCTTTGGCGCAGACGCGACCTTTCACTGAAGTTGAAAGGTCATGTA